AAATACTTGGAAGGAAATTTAGAGCACTAAACACCTACATCAAAAAAGAAGAAAGCATTCAGAATTAATAATGTAAACTTCCACTTTAACAAACTAGAAAAGGAAGAGTATACTGAACTGAGAGCTAGCAGAAGGGAGGGTTAGTAAAGACACAGTGGTAAAAAAAGAAATATAGAGAAGAAAAACAGTATGTAAAAATCCACAAAATGAGAAATTGGTTGTTTTTTTTAAAGATCAACATAATTGACAAATCTTTAGCCAGGCTGACTATGGACAAGAGAGAGAAGACTCAAATTACTAAAATCAGGAAGGAAAGGGGACATTAAAATGGATCCTATGGAAGAAAAAAGGATTATAAGGGAAGACTATGACCAATTGTATGCCATTAAATACATTGAAATGAATTTCACCTGCCTCTGTCTACCTTTTTAAAAATATGGCTACTCACTCTAGCTGGTTTGGCTCAGTAGATAGAGCGTTGGCCTGTGGAACAAAGGGTCCCGGGTTCAACTCCGGTCAAGGGCATGGATCTTGGTTGCAGGTCCCTCCCCAGCCTGGGGCCCAGGCCCTGGTCGTGACACGTGCAGGAGGCAACCAATTGATGTGTTTCTCTCACATCAGTATTTCTCTCTGTCTTTCCCTCTCTCTAAAAATCAATGGAAAGTATCCTCAGGTGAGGATTAAAAAACAAAATAAGGGCAGCAGGACGGGATCTAGCAGGACGGGGTGAGAACCCAAAGCTCGCCGCCTCAGGAGAGTCTACAGACAGCAGGTCGATGCCAAGCAGGGCTCAGGCGCCCTGTGTGTCTTTGCCTTCACTCACGGGCCTTTCCGAAAAGCAGTACCACCTTTTCAGTTGCATCCTTTGGCCTCACAGAGATGTCATAGCTTAAGACAGACGCCACGCTGGCCAGGTAGCTCCGTAAGTTAGACTGCCTGTCGTCCCAATATGCCAAGGTTGTGGGTTCGATCTCCGGTCAGGGCACATACAAGAAGCAGCCAATGGATGCCTAAGTAAGTGGAACAACTAACGGATGTTTCTCTCTCTTTCTCTCCCTCCTTTCCTTCCTCTCTCTCTCTCTCTTAAAAAAAAAAAAAAAAAGACAGGAGGAGCTAAGGCTGTTTGCTTCCTCATTCTCCCATTGTCTCTGTCCGACCTGAACTTGTCACTCAAGCAGGGTCTCCGTGCCCCCTGTTCCCTGTTTCTCTAACCTCTCTCTCTAGTTCAGCGGTTCTCAACCTGTGGGGTCGCGACCCCTTTGGGGGTCGAACGACCCTTTCACAGGGGTCGCCTAAGACCATCGGAAAACACATACATAATTACATATTGTTTTTGCGATGAATCACTATGCTTTCATTATGTTCAATTTGTAACAATGAAATGGGGGTCACCATAGCATAAGGAACTGTATGAAAGGGTCGCGGCATCAGAAGGTTGAGAAACGCTGCTCTAGTTGTCTGTCCCCCTTCTCTTTGGTGTCCGCACCTCTCCTTTCTGTCCCCCTCTGTCCCCTCTCTCTGGCTCTGTCCCCCCTCTCTCTGGGCCTCTGTCCCCTCTCTCTGGGTCTCTGTCCCCTCTCTCTGGGTCTCTGTCCCCTCTCTCTGGGTCTCTGTCCCCTCTCTCTGGGCCTCTGTCCCCTCTCTCTGGGCCTCTGTCCCCTCTCTCTGGGCCTCTGTCCCCTCTCTCTGGGTCTCTGTCCCCTCTCTCTGGGCCTCTGTCCCCTCTCTCTGGGCCTCTGTCCCCTCTCTCTGGGTCTCTGTCCCCTGTCCCCCTCTGTCCCCTCTCTCTGGGCCTCTGTCCCCTCTCTCTGGGCCTCTGTCCCCTCTCTCTGGGCCTCTGTCCCCTCTCTCTGGGTCTCTGTCCCCTCTCTCTGGGTCTCTGTCCCCTCTCTCTGGGCCTCTGTCCCCTCTCTCTGGGTCTCTGTCCACTCTCTCTGGGCCTCTGTCCCCTCTCTCTGGGCCTCTGTCCCCTCTCTCTGGGTCTCTGTCCCCTCTTTTCTGGGCCTCTGTCCCCTCTCTCTGGGCCCCTCTCTGTGCTCCTGCCCCTGCTCTCTGCTCCGCTTCCATCTCTCGCCGGATGGAGCTCGGGGTCTGAGCGCCTGTGTGCTCTTCCTGCCTGCTGCTCCTGCACGCTCCCCGAGGTGCTGGCTGTCATCGCTTCTTCCATTCCACAGAGAAGGAACCTGAGGCCGGGAGGAGGCTGCTGCTGCTGCTCCCCGCACCCCACGCGGGCTGGCGGCCGCATGGGCCTTGATCCCGGCTGGGTGCCCAGGGCTGTGTCTGAGGCAGCACAATCCCCTGCGGGTGTGACTCAGAAAGGGCTCTGGCGGGAGGCAAAGCGCGGCCTGTGCTGCCCGAGCCGAGCTCACAGGAGGACAGCATTCCGCCTGGGGGAGGGGATGGCTCCTGGGTCTGGCCCACTGGAGGGGCCCGCCCTGGTCCCTTCTCCCCACTGGTCCTCCTGCTCCATCAGCCTCCTCCTCCGGCCTCCCTGCCTCCAGGCTCGGTCTACCTTTCCCAGGCCCCCCACCAGCCCCAGGGGAGTCTTCCAGGGACAGAAAGGACTTTTGCTTTAG